TTGTTCCCTGGGAGCAGAGCCTGATCCCACCTGGCTGCACCTCCTGGCAGGGACTTGTAGAGAGTGAGAAGGTTCCCCTGAGCCTCCTTTTCTCCAGGCTGAGCCCCCACCCCTCCCTCAGCTGCTCCTGGTGCTCCAGCCCCTTCCCTCTGCCCCAGCCTGGAGCACTGTGTGGGGCTGGTGTGGCCCTAGGGAGGCCATTCCTTCCCTTTCCTCCTGAGTAGAGGGTGAAAGAACCCTCACATACAGAATTCTCAGCTGCCACAGGCTCTGTGCTGGGGTGGATTGAGAGGAAAAGCCACAGGCTGTGGAGACATTCAGGAAAACTCAATTTCCACTCTGCAGACAAACCAACAAAGTGCATCTTGAAGTATTTGATGTGATCCCAATCTCTGCTGTGTCTCAGATAACATCAGATTGTTAGCCAGCAGGTTAGAAAGGAAAAGAGGGAAAAAGAGATAAAATATTCTCAAGTAGCATTTCTGGGAGACATTGGGAATATTTCTCTGGGACTTGGTACAGAGGACAGAAGAATATCCTTAGGAAACTTCTAGATGAGAGCAGATAAATGCCCATTGAAGTGTCACAATCAATGTTTCTATCAAAGATGCACATCTGAGGAACTAAGCTAATGGAAGATATTTAATTAAGACTCTGATTTTCAGGCATACTAATAGTTCTGAGTGGATCAGGGAAGCTGTGAGCTGCAATCTTTTGCTGTCTGACCAGTCTGATCAAAGGACACTGCTTATGCACAGGGAGCACAATGGATGCAGCAGATTGTGCCACAAGGAATCTTTGAAAAGAAGGAAAAATTTCTGGCTCTAAAAAGTATAAAAAGTAAAAGTTGAAAGAGAAATTTCTGTTCTTTTGTCCAAAAAAAAATCCAGTTTTCTTAGATGCAAAATATATACTTCAGTATTTTATCTCCTAAGCCACACACAATCTTATCATCTGCATCCTGCAAAGTGATAAATATGGAGTTAATATCCTACTTTGTCTAGTGCTGTTCTCCTCCTGGAAAGCTGAATTCAGTACTTAGAGCTCATTATTCAACAGCACAGATATTAAACAATATCCTTTCATAGCTCCATAATGAAAATTCTTCCTCTTCAGAAAAAGCTGAGGGAGATGATTGGGCTGAAGGAGCAATCCAAGCTGGCCAGGTGTATTC